CCCCCACACCGACACTTTAGACATGGATGTAATCTTGGGCTAACTCGTACGTTTAAGAAGACGGCAGGGACACATTCCACCGGCTAACAAACGTTCACCCTCTCCCTGCCCCCCTTTCATCGTTTAGTTCTCTCTACTTTCGAGCTTTCATCCTTGCACTCACGTACCACCCCCCCCCCCTCCCAAATTCCAAGGTATCTCCAACACGACAGGGGAACGACATAATTCTAATTTTATTGCTGGTACCGGCCGTGCACGGTGCGCGTTCGTTCAGGCGGTAACAAATTTATGAGCAATTTTTCTTATTAATTTTCATAAGTTCGACATGTGAGGGGCACCTTTTGTCAAGCCCGTTCCGACAAAGGGCAATGATGTATAGATAACTAGGGAGAAACATTGGAGGAAGGAGGGAGGAAGGCTCTCAACATCTCTCGCATCACACGTAAAAGTCGTTGCTTTAGGTTTATATTAAAAAGACTCATCCCTCTATACCAATGCAAAATCACACCGTTAGGGGGTTGTAACGTTCACAGAGATGATGAAGTTTACCATTTTTTTACGAGTATACTTTTGACGGGATTCTTTGGTTCACTCGGCTTTTTTTTTAACTTGAAGTAGATGAACTAGTGGTGGATGAGGAAAATTGCGGGGGCGAAATTAAAAATTCTTTTTGAAAGTTTTGGATTAGTGGGGAGTGATTGTAAAATTGTTTTTTTCGAGGGAAAAAATTTCATTATGGAGGTTATTGTGTTGGAGTTTTTGGACGGAGTCAGTGATATTTTTGGGGGTGAGGAGGTATGGTACCAGTGACATTGCGGCACGTGTTGCATGTACGTCTTGGAGAGACGGTATTGCTGTGTCGACGAGGGCTGGGGTTGGTCATTCATCATGGATGGAAGTCAGACAAAAAATGATGAGTGTAAATCAACTATTGCTCAATATATTTTACCCCTTTTTTGGGGTGTTCTACCACTTTCCATCTGGGGTAATTGAGGGTGATTTGCCCATATTTTTTTGGATGCTTGCTACTACCAAGATTGCGAAAAACTAATAAATATGTGAGAGTTGGAATCACTCACCGGCGTTGGATGGAATCATCAGCTTCGTTTCCATCTCTGGAAACAGCTTTCCTTTTAAACCCGGTGGTTCATGGAATCCTCTCGAATACACTTGCACAGACACAACACTCACAGAATGATAAATGACACGGATTCAAACATTAAAGGCTCTGCAGACGCCAGAAGTAACTGTTTGTGAACCAGGAAAGGCCGTTGCCATTCTTCAACTTCTCATCAATATCAGAATCTGTTCGATGTGCCTTATGAACTCCATTGCAGTCACATGAGAACATCATTGTAGGATGCTTTAACATGATCTTTGCGATTCCTACTCCCGGCGATAGCTTTGTTCACATTAGTTCATCAGCTTCTTTCATTTGGTCTCCTCGGCTTTTGGTGGCTCGGCTGACAGCTTCACAGATGTCATCTGATGATTGTCATATTGCATCATTACACGATGCTCAAACTCAGTCCTCATAATCCGTGCAACATAAATTTGCTTTGTTAATCGCCATCAATCGTAATAATCTACTAACTTTGTTTATTTAGACAGCTTCTTGGTCAATTTAGCTGACAAATTCGCAGAAGACAGCCGATCATTGCGATTTTATAACATTACACGATGCTTCAACTGCGTCTTCACGACCCCCGGACCACAAATTTGACTTGACAATTGTCACTATTCATAATATCTCACTGACCGCCTAAATTTAGACTGTTTCTTAATCAGTTCAGCTGTCCTTACTAATTGCCAAATATTGCTCTTCAGTCCGACTCAAAACTTCAACTGCATTTCAACCTCAATAGAATTCTCATCCAGATGGATATCAAATCCCAAGTCAATGACCAAGACAGACCCCCGCAACCCTATCATTTACATTTGCATCGCCTATAAAACAGATTAATTGCCGTCCAACTTCCGTGCATTGACGATGGTGGTCTTGTACATCAGTAATGGCGCGGACAACGGAAACTAGCCTTGGCGACGATTCGATGGACACTCAATGGACCGCAGGAGGTAGCTATGCTGCAAGGGAGACAGTGGGATCGAAGTAACAGGGGAGTGAGAGCAGTTTCCCCACCGGATACACCAAGCATATAACCCTGGGTATACCAACTGCGTCCTGTCATTCGTCAATATATCTCTGACGATCGAATACCCTGTGCAATATGTTTCGCATTTCGATTTTCGATTGAACATTCTGGTAGCCAATGCTTTTGGTCTGACTGTTTGTTGAGCCAGTGCATCCGCAGGAAAGCTACCAACTGGGCATTCATTGAAACTACTTCCTACATTTCAACGAACCGAGTGAATGTTGATGCTCAAGTTGGGATTAATATTGACTGTCAGGAATTAAAATACGTGGAATGGTTAAAGCAAGTATTTTATTTCGGAGACAGTATACGTGGAAGTTTGGGCTTGTATGTGAATGTTCTGTTCATCGGGTTGAAGTTTAGATGTTCGCTGAAGTTGAAAACTTCATTTAAGTTTTATAGCCATGGTAGGGGGTCCATGAGGTCCACTCATCCCCATAGATCCTCCTGACCATTGAGAATGTGATTTGGAATTGACACTGAAGAGACTGACTTGGAATTTTAAAACTTAGAAAGACGGCATTTACTGTCAGACATTTTCGACAAGTGTCTATACGGAATTTTTAATCACGTCCAAGATCCAGACGAACGTCTCTATCATTTCACCACCCCTTCATCCACAGATAGAACCGTAAGAAAGAGAAAATTCATACGACCAATCCAGTGTAATTACCAAAGCGACGGTGAAGTTTATGGACCACGACTGGGTTTTAAATCCAGAAAGTGTAACCGCAAGGGCTACTTCACCCTGGGCAACTCAAGAAGTTTGGCCCTCGATAACAATAATGAAGGTTTCACTGATACTCATAGACCCTCACGGCCCTTGAGAATGGATGATGTCTGAGATTCTGATCGGTATCGCCATATCATCAGGCACTGATTTGGAATCTCATAACTTAGAAAGCTGGCAATTACTATCAGAAATTTTCGTACGAGTGTCTATACGGAATTTAATCATGTCAAATAAGTTTGGACACTCCCCGAGATCCAGGCAAACGTCTCTATCATTTCGTAACTTCATCCGCAGATAGAACCGTCATAAAGAGAAAATTAATACGACCAATCCAAAGTAATTGCCGAAGCGATGGTGAAGTTTATGGACGACGACTGGGATTTAAATCCAGAAAGAGTAACCGCAAAGGGCTACTCTACCCTGGGCAAGCTAAGAAGTTACTACCGAGAATAAGGAAACAGAGTGAGAGATAAAGGCTCTGGATCATTTAGCGAATTAACAATTATAATACGCGATTAGAATTCTTATCCATTAGCATAAGCGGCCGTGCAGTGGCACTGGAAAAGTTCGAGTGCTCGCGAGTGCCGCGCGCCACACTGGAATAATTTCAACGTTCGGGGATTTAAAACCCTCCCCTTTCCAAAAACCCTGGAAGCGAACCAGGAAAAACGAGAGAATCAACATGAAGAATGTACCAGGAAGAGCGCAGTGGGAAAATGGATTGATGGATTGGACGAAAGCTTTTGCGTCATTCACATAAAGTTATTCAATCGAGATTATGCAAATCCACTGGGAATTTGAGGTTAAAGTTATACAAAAAAATGGTCAAAGTGACAATTTTATTATCGTTGGTGCCATTACTATTTCAAGTCTCATTCTTCTTGCATAAGGATTCAAACGAAAATATGTAAAAGGTTGGAGGCCATTTTTTTTAGCGATTACCATGGCAATACAAGGATGAAGCTTTTATTTGTAGGAAGCTCTTCCCTCGGCACTCAACGCCCGGAAAACGAAACATATAGCAGGTGGGCAACAAACAAATGTACCCAGAAAAAAAAATGGATTTGCCCTGCTAAACTTAAAATAACCCAATCACGCATGGTGCTATTTTTGGTCCATACGTGCATGAATTATTTTAACGCGGAAGGGATGGAGATTAAAACATCGAATATCCGTGATGCTGACCGGTGAAAATGTTTTACTCTAGTGGAGAAAGTTTTTTACCGGTTCAGTACCTTTTACGTGAAGCAGCGAGGTTTGGAGATGGGATTAAAGGGTTTTCAACGGATTGTGGACTGAATTTGTTCGGTGAAATAAAAATATGATTTTACTACGCATCTGGTGTTGAATGCATCGTACGTTCGACGAGAATGATTTCTCATGTTATCAGGCAAGGTTTTTTGTCGATATGTGCCGCCGGGAATTGGTAAAGTACCGACTGAAGCACCTCAAACAGTTGATAATCTAGGAACTAAACATTCATGCCTGTAACTTGAAGTTTGATCAATACCCGGTTCAGTTTCATTAGATTTGGAAAGTTCACATAATGTAAAATCAACATTTGAAAAGACAATTCAACTTGATCAAAATGTGGAGTGAACAGAAGCGAAGAAGTCGCAGCTCTGTCGTGCCGAGAAAATCAAACTTGAGATTTGTGCCTAAGACGAAGTAAGTTCCTTTTGAAGATACTCAAACACCCGATTTAATTCTGAAAAATTTTCTAAGATGGGAGTTACCAAGGCAGAAGCCCAAATCCTACTGGAAGGACGTGTTCGAGGGCCTGGAAACCAGCCGCTTAAAAGTAAACCAGCCTTTACTCTCCCTATTCTCTCCCTCCTTAGGTATTCCCCTCGAAAGTAGCGTCAGCATTCGTGATAAGGTACTCGTGAAACCAGAAACTCCAGATGTCAAGACAATATTAATCATGAACGAGCCGATAGTCAAGATCTCTCCGCCATCTCCATCACATAATGGAAACGAAGTGTTGGTCGCACCGCAGAAAATACCTATAACCGATTCCTTGGAATATTTGAAGAGTCATGACGTAAGTAATTTCGATCTAGATCTTCCACAGGAGAAAACAGCTTCAGAGGGCGAAAAACCAGAAGACATTGCGAAGGATAAAGAAAAACCTGAAGCGAAAGCTCCTTTAAGCCTGTCAGCAATCGGTCAGGTATCTCAGCTGACTAGAATCTCCAGGTACGTCAATGATTTCTTGGCGAGCACAAGGGTCAAGATGAAATCCTCAATCTCTCCGAAGAACTACGTGCAACCGCAGCCAGAGCTACCTTTAGAAACACCTAAAGAAGGTCACTACATCATTGAGGGAACCCCGATTGATGCTGATGATCGAGCGCAGAAGAAGACTTTAGAAGACTCTCCAATTGTAGCTGAGCCGGCCAGAACTGACGCGGACGAACCGCAAGTGAGTGACGAGCAAGCGATCCAACAGAAGCACGTGATATTTGAGGAACCTGCAGAGGACAATGTAGAAACCCCTGATAATTCGTACGGAAGGGTTCCTCGCGGGCGAGCTCCCAGCCTCGGGGTGGCCAGTCTAGTCCCAAGTTTCGGAAGGATGATATCTTCCTTGGAATACTCGGACTCCGTTGGCAGTCGATCATCAATTGAGAGCTCTCCTGATGATCTCAACACAACGGAGGGAGGCAGTCCTCCCAGATCTTCATTACTTCGCCAAACTCCGGACATAAAATCTATGTTTTTTTTGGAACCACCTGCTGTTCAGTATCCTGGTAAGAGTGTCTACCCTGATGGTAGACAATTCTTGGACTCTAAGTCCAGATTTTTTGGAAGCAGTCCTTCCAGGAAGACGCGAGAGTCGGGAGGATATCAATATTGGCCTAGGCGTACAATAGTACACACCATCCGAGCCCTGAAGACCATGAAGGCAAGAACTAAAACAAGTGAAGGCTCTCATCATAAGCAGATGACATTTGGCTCTTCTGTTCTTCTTCAAGGCCGTTCGATTGTGGAGAAATCATCGAGTTCTAGTCTTGAACAGGAGACCTGTGATCGTTCCCCAGATCAAGTTTCTCCAACCGTCGGAAAGAGCGCTGGGACATCAGGAAGCTCAACAGGTTCGTCAAACCAGAGTACAGAGCAGACGGTCTTGAGAACCCTTCGGACGAGATTCCCCTCAGAACAACCGGAGCTAGTTCCTCTCATCCGAAAACCCTCATTAACGCTTGAAGACTTGCCTTCCATGGGAGGAATGTATCAACGAAAGAAGAGGAATAAGTGTCTGGCATGCATGTGCAGGGCGAAGGTCGAGCTGGAACCCATTTTTAGACGACCTGATCAGACTGATGAGACGTCACCTTACAAATCAGTCATTGCGGAGTTCGATAATCTACTCGCGACTAAATTCACGGAAAGAATCACTAGAGCACGAGAGAAGGCTGAATTCACGACTGATGATGAAGTCAGTCCACTCCCTGAAGACAAGAAGGCCAGTGCGAAGTCCAACGACCTGGATGATAATTTGGAACGACGACCGATTAGGACTAGTCCTCTAGAGAAGAAATTCACCCAAAGTTCCGTCAAAGATGACCTCATCTCCGCTAAGTCGTTCGTTTCGACGTTATCTCTCACTTCGGAACAATCAAGAACAATTTCCGAACAGGAGGATTCTGATCATTCTGGTCTAGAACCAGTGGCCGAAACTGGTGAAGAACTTCCAGGCACTGGTTCTAAATTCCGAGCACCTTGTCATGCTCCATTGAACCTAAAACCTACCCTCGAACCTCTGATGGCAATGAAAGGTAAGAAATCCAAATCGATACAGTCACGTTCGGCTTCTCTCGAGAAGTCCATGGATGAGGGGAGTGAAGAGGGCAGTGATGGCGACGATGATGATGATGCTGAAGATCTAGTTCCGAAAGTCGTAGAACAAACAGCAAAAAGGATCACTTCTATCAAATCAGCAGATGGTCATATGCCCGTTACTGCAGCGAACGAAAAGAAGGATCAAGTCATCTCATCAGAGAAGATAAAATCAGATAAACTATCAGAACCAGAAGCCGAACCCCGGAAATCATCACCGCAGGAGAATCAAGACCACCACGAAATGACGCCTACACCCGACAGGACAATCAGCTCGAAATCAGGTGAAGTATCTCTGTCTGAAGAAATCTACCACCAGTTGAACGTCAAGATCAGGTCAACAGACCACAATCCCAGTCGTTCGTTCTATCCCGTCTCCCCCGTAATGTCAGATTCCGAAATCATGGAAATCGTAAAAGTATCTCTCGATGCACACAAACCCATCAAAGACATCCTCCTCTCGTTATTAGAAGAATACACCCACAGACTATCCACAAAAATATCTAACGACGCATTACCTGATCCAAATTCCCAAAAAATCGCGAAAATGACGAACCGTCTGCTGGCGCTACTAGTAGATTCCAAACTCTACCTCCATCCCGAACTCACCTCCTCTAATCTCCAATTCTCCTCCAAACAGAAACCCTACTGCAACTCCCAGCAGCTGAGGCGATTCCTTCCTTTCAAGTCCTACAACCTAGTTGCCCCGATCCTGGGAATGCCGGAGTGGCACCCAAAGCGCTGGTCCGCCCTGAAAAGCGCGCGAAGTTTCAAATCTGGATTGAAAGCAAAAAGGGTAACAACGGTGGTGGAAGATCCCTCGTCAGTTTCCGCTATTTCAACGAAGACGGAGAGTGGAGCCGACGTTGATTTGATTGTGAGTAATCCATTACGTTCTTGTTATCTTCTCAGACAAGTAGAGTCATCCCTATTGATTAGGTGCATCCTCCATCACCGAGGGCATCTCTCGACGAAGACTATCACAAGCAGAAGAAGACAAACCCGTATGCTGCGTTCCTCAGCAAGCCTAGGCGAAGGGTGAGTCTTCAGTTCCTATTCATCATCTTGATTCCGATGACAATGACTGTCATCATGACCAGGGCCAAGTCATAAACTTTATGGGGTTCCTAATGCAAGTTTATGAGGTTACTCCGAGCTACCCGAACTTTGCCCATCCCTGATCGTGACCATCGTCATTACTCATAATGATGATATCCACCAGGCGGTGATTTGGCGACCTCTAGTAGAACGAGACCTCGAAGGCTACGACCCCGAGTCAACATTGAAAAATCGCGCGGCTAGAGTCACGGACAAAATCTGCAAGGACTTTTGCGACTGGTTGAGATCCCTCGGAGGATCTCACGACACCATCGACGAGGAGATCCTGAAGGACATGTTCGAGACGGACTTCACAGCTGAAGCTTGCAGAACCATGCGGGTAAGCAAGCTCTGTTCACCCTTCTGCCCATAAAAATTTGTAAGGTAGAGCTGCTCAGTGCGGACATGCTGATCGAGGGTAATTCCTCCCCATTGACGACTCTTCTTATCGGCTCAGATCTGCGTGAAGGAGATGCCTATGGTACCGACAGTCGTGGCAGCGATGAGGCATTGCCCGGAGAGCGGCGAGCCGGAGGTCACCAGACGGCAACTTATCCGTGATGTTCGGGCAGAGAGGGAATCCCCGAAAATCGTGGGTTTCGGATCGACTGTCCCCCACCACGTGAGATATGTACCGCCAAGCAATAATGTCCATCAGAAGTGGATTCACTGCACTAATGTCCCGCAGGATCTGGAGAGCATGAGTTTCGTTTGGAAAGACATCACTCATTTGGACAGCGTCAGAGGCTTCTCTAATTGGCTCAATAAACAGCCCCATGTTCGTATTGTTCGTTAATTAATCTTCTTGATCAATGTCATCGAATTTCTCACGATCTTATGAACAGGTCAAGCTGCCACCGGCTCTCCACAGAGTCAAGAGGAAAAAATTGGAGAAAAAATGAAACTCTTCGACATTCTTCGAGGCCAAGAAATTCAACGCTATTAATGTCGATAGGAACCTTTCCACTGATTGCCTCCAATTTGTTGAACCGAGTTTACACAATCACTGGGGAATATGGGCGCACAACTTTGAATTTGTTGATGAAATTGTTGGAGAGTTATAATGATGTTTCATTGCGAATATACGTATCCGAAAAGTTTGTACTTTATAAAATCGGAATTTTTGGATGAACATTAATGAAGGTGAAAGCTAATCCCTCTCCATTGAATATTGATCGAACTGCTTGGTTCGTACCTTTCGCTATAAATAAGGTGAGACAAAATGTCAAATGCGGAACGGTAAGATCTGCGTCTGTCCGTGACAGGGAGTCACGGTGGGTGCTTGCAGGGTGGAGGTCTCATTAAACGGCTCCATCTGACGGTACGACCTTTATCATTATCATGATTTTCTTACACTTTGTGCTTGCAATTAACCCATTGGTTTCATGACTTTTGCTATGTGTTTTGGTGGGTCAATGATGGGGAGTGAATGAAAAATTCGACTCACATCAACTGCACGATTTCACACACACTAGAAAATTTGTTCGGAAATTAGATGGGCTGGACTTCCGGTACCTCATTAGTTCATCGAATCCATTGTGCCACGAAGTTCGTGTGTGCAGGAGTGACGCCCAGGTCGACGCTCTATATCTGCTTTCTAACTAGCCTCCTCTCAGCTTGAAACCATCAGCTTCCCATTGTCCTGCAAATCCGGCGTATTTATATCTTCGGAAAGTTTTAAGTCGAAATTGGTCTATTGTTGTGTTTCATGATTCTGCATATATGAGTGAGTTGTAAATACTATCTCTCTGTGCACTAAGAGAAAAACGAACAAGTTCTCAAATAAGTCTTGAAAATTATCAAAAAATTGATTGTTTGATTCGAATTTGAAAGTCTCAAACATGAATAATTGCTCTGCTTTCAATAACAAATGTTTGGCTCAAGAGGAGGATCATTCGTACAAGACGGTGCCTACTCGAGTCAGATAATTGGACCTGACAAGTTCTACTTAGGTGAAATTTTCATGAAATTCCTAATTTTTGAGTGACAAGGACACGAAAATTCTTCAACTTACTTCAATTTTCAATCAAATATAATATAAACATGAAATAATTGACCTGAAATTTCCATTTTCCACCGATTTTTCTATGAAATTTAGAATTTTCGATGACAAAATTGCTTGAATTAGAATGTCATAAAAATTTCCAAGAAAAATTACGGAAATTTATGCCAGAAACTTTCATTAGTGAAGATCAATCATCTTCATTTTATCTCCCATTGTTGTAAAACGAAATAATAATGTTAGATTATGATGTAGCTGATGCAGAATAAACCGCCTTTTCATTTAAAGGATTAAGCCTTGATTTTCCATCCCGTCCCGCCTCGAAAAAGTTTCGCCGGAGCTTGATTAGATTGACTCCGATCCTCCGGGAATACATCACGGTGAAAAAAAAAACCCCCCAACGAGCTGTCGATAAATTTTCGCCTCGATACTCAAAGGCCACTGCTTGTTTTTCCCTCACCATGATTCCATTAATTTATTCCTTTTTCTTATCAGCGAGTTGATGGAATTCAGTTTCAAAACTAACGAAGGAATAACCCGTGAAAAATGTAGTCAAGGGTAGATGAAATGAGAATAACCCAACTTTCTCGCGAAAATTAATTCTCGAAGCTGATGTTTTTCGAGCCAAACGCGGAGTCGTAAAATTACAGGGAACAGTAATTTTGACATCCACACGGAGATAAATATTCAATAAAAATTACGTAACTTTTCCGTAATTGCGGAGCGAAATTTAGTTGTAGGAAATTCAACGGAACTGTCACGGAATTTTTTCGGAGCGTTCCGTAATTTTTATCTGAATCTCCTGTGAAAAATTCGAAAGTTAAAAAGTAATCGATGAATTAAATTTCAATTAATGTAGATGTAATTGTTTCAACCGAACGCATCGTAAGATATCCTCCGCAAAAAGTATTGTCCATTGAATTAGAACTTCGCTCCACGACTCCCTTTCATCCAACTTTTCTCTCCGTACGGCTACATATCACATTTTAGGATGTTTTTTACCTCAGATGTTATAAATGGTATGGGTTTACCACATGCAACGACATTGACACACGTCCACACATGCACAATTCGCATTTCAACACAGCTACCTTCGACTTCCACATCCGGCCTGACCCGGAAGGCCGCTCCCCGCGTTTCGACGTCAGGTCACGGTACACCAGCACCATCGCACAACATCACTCTTCACGCACACTCCCTCAACCCAGGAATAATTCGCATTTACCTATTACGGGGGGGGGGCACCGTATGTAGGAGATTGAATAAGAAAAAATGTATATATGAAACAAATAAACGAGGCCGAAAGAGGCCCGGCTTCAGGCGAGGCTAATCAGTCTTTCCGTTGATGCCACGACCATCGCATCGAGTTGCTCCACTAGTTAGTCATTGTATAAGTCTTATGTAAACATTTTAATTTCATTTTCGTGAGTGTAAAACAACAATTCTTCACTTGAAAAGAAGGAAAATCAGGCAATTTTGTTAATTTCAATTTAAAAAGCGGGGAAATGTCATCCTAAATTGACCCATTTTGCCCCAATAGTTGCGAAGAACCCAATGAGAAAACTCTCCCTCCAAAATACTCAAGTCTGGGGCAAAACCGATCATCATTTTGGCATAAAATTAACGAGAAAACGTTGAAAATTTGGAGATGATGTAGGAATAATGACGAAAAATTCTCCAGAGTTTTAAAAATCATCGAATTGCACTACTAGTTATTATTGATCGTGTAAAAATTACATAAATCTTTACATCTCATTATTGTGAGTGCCAAACAACAGTTTTCCATCTAAATTTAAAGAAGATCTGTAACTTTTTGAAAATTTCAACTCAAAAGAAATAAAATTCCATCTGAAATTGATGAAAAGATGACCCATTCTGCCCCAATAATGGTTAGAACGTAAATTAAAAAAATCTCCGTAAAAAATTTTCAACTCTGGGGCAAAACGGATCATCATTTTGCATGAAATTCATGAGAAATCGTAAAAATTTTGGCGATGATTTCGTATTAATTTTGACGAAAAATTCTCCACAATGTTTTAAAAATCATCGAGTTGCTCTACTAGATATTATTTATTATGTAACTATTATGTAAATATTTAAATCGCAAATATTTAAATCGTGATTGTCAAATGACAATTTTCCATCTGAATTTTTCGATTAAAAAAAGGGAAATTTTATCAAAAATTTCACAAAAAAAACAGCCGTCCTGCCCCAATACTTTCTAAAACCCAAAAAAAACAAATATTCAGCTCTGGAGCAAAACGGATCGCAATGTTGCATGAAATGCATGAGACATCGTTAAAAATTTGGAGATGATTTCACGTTAATTACGACGAAGAATTCTTCAAACAGTTTTGAAAACCAATTTGGGGTAATAGTTAAACTCTTTCCAGTCTGGAGGGGAAAAAATAACAATGAGAGAACTGAGCATATCGGCGCTTAGTCGGGGTGACAAATGCCCGGTGCACGTGACTCGATCAGTGGCGACGACCCCCACTGTGAAATCATACAGACAATTGGACAAACGGACAAGCGTGAAGTGTTACTAAAGTTCGCTCGATTACCCACGATATTCGTTGGCATCCCCTTGGTGTGCGGTAATTAATACGACAGTGGTCTCTTCATCAGGAGACGAGAGAAAAATCGTTGAACAAACGATTTAATTGAGAATTGGGGGAGAAAGTCGCGTTTAAGGCCTTGACATTTCGCCATGTAATGATGTTCTGAGGGGTGAGTAATCCGTAAATTATATAATTAGCCGATTTTCTGGGCGTAAAATGGAGCAATCCGACGTCTTCCGGTTTTTGCTTCCGAATGGAGGCATTGCAATCGTTGAAATTAAAGCTTTGGATTTTTTGGGTTATATCGACCCATTATGATCCAAAAAGTCCGAAATGGGAGAGTAACTTAAAGGACATTCGACTTTGGTCGCGGTTCCTGGAATAAAGAGACTTTAAATGGTTAGATCGCACCATTCTACCCGGCCGGGATTTGAACTCGGATCATTTCGCATGTGAGGCAACGAATTTACCCACTGCGCCAAGCCACCGGGCACAAAGTACTTGGATATCCATCATGGGGTTGATGTCTTGTCGTAGTGGCCCCATTATCCGATAAGACACATTTTTAGTTCATCATCTCAAATCAAATCTTCGGGAAATGCCCGGTGGCTTGGCGCAGTGGGTAAGTTCGTTGCCTCACGTAATAAAAACTCTGTTAAAAAAAAAAAAGTTCGTTGCCTCCCATCCGAAAGGTTCCGAGTTCAAATCCCGGCCGGGTAGAATGGTGCGATCTAACCATTTAAAGTCTTGATCATCATCGCAGTATACGCTAACCGGGTCGAAGCGATGTAAAATAACGATAAAAAAAACCTGGAAGACACCAGTTTTTACAGTATTATCCCATCTCAGAACAATAGAAATAAGAAAATAATTCTGTAATCCTATATATGCATGCATACATACAAATAACATCGCAAATGTATCTCCGAAGGAGTTGCCCAAGGGAATGGAGCCTTCATTCCGAGGGCACACGGTGCGACTGAAAAGAGAGGGATGTAGTAGGTGGTCCAGAGCTCCCTCGAACGGATGTGCACGTGTCGACGTATGTAATTTGCATAGGTAGAACGTGGTCAAAGGATTTACGTAGCAATGGCTCGGGCTGAGTTGTACTGAGCATCGAAGAGAGACGGACCTGTGTCAGATTCCAATGTCCTGAAAGAATTTATGGTTGTCAAAGGCCGGAGCCATTTCAAGCGGAATAGGATGATGAGAAATTTGATGATTCGTAATGAGGTTCTTATTTCTCAAGTTATTTTGAGTTAAGGTATTCATGGCGTGGTCAGGGGGAGCCGAAAAAAATCAAGAAATTGAAGATTTTTCTAATACATTCTATGATTGT